GACCAACAGCAGCCAAATTTGGGTACTTCAGCTATGTCAAATATTAAACACATCTCAATTTCTTGTACCATATGTGTAAAATCTACCATTGCTGTCTCGATGTATAACTTCCGAATAGGTTCGGAAACATCTCTTACGTTTACAAACACGCAGATGCAATGGCTTCTAGTGATACGACAACAGCACCCAGAAACTTAATTGGTAGACCAAAGCTTAAATGCATCCAATCGTCAAGACAAAGTCTTATTAACATGTCAGTTTGGCATATTTATACCAGGATAAAGAAGGGAATCTAATCGATAACACACAAACAGGAATATCGTACATCTATCACCATTCAGTCCATCATACAACCAACTCCTTCATTTGGATACGTGGGTGAGTCTCGCCTGCGGTGTAGTTTTGACATTGCGGCGATGGTACCGAACTTATCTCGAAATATGAGTTTCACCACGCATCAATTATTTAAACAACATTCTATTTCCGCTATTTGGGTTCTACAAAGTATCGTCATAAGAATATTAAAAATTTTGATCTCATTACTATCGTTACAAAAATTAAGCAATCTTTTCGAAATGGTTCTCGAAATGGTCTCTCCGTAATTTTGAGCTGATTACAGAAAAATAATTATAAAAATGCTTTTTATCGAAATACATGAAAATATTTCCAAAAATATTTAACATTTGTTTCGGTCCATTTCAGAATATTTTAATGTAAATACTTTTAATTTGATATAATCGAGGAAAAAATTATATATTCGAAATAATGTATCCGATTTTATTCATATTTGTTACAAATTATTCAGATATTTTTTGTAAAAGAGTTAAAATCGGTCCATTATTTCGCATTGCCCCCATACAACCGTAACCGCTGAATAGAGTTTTTCATCTCATAATCTAAATGACACGGCCCTTGTCCCCATACATACTCCCCTTCAGAAAGTAATATGAAGGTCAAAAATCTGCTCGAATTTGAGTACTGAATTCCATTTAATCTCATTATTATTTACAGAACCTTAGTACCTGTTTGCAGACATAATGCCCTGCACAACTAGGGGGGTCATCCCCTGAATAATATTCCAAGAGAAAACAAAAAATTGATTCATGTTATATTTTTAAACACTTTACAATCCCGCTTTAATTACAGCTATTGTTGTTGATGTCTTGTATACAATCATCTAATAATAACTTCATAAAATATTCATTACCCTCATTATCATTTCGTTGAAAACTAAATAACCAATACTTAATTTACTTTTACCCAAAACAAAATACCTTAACTAAACAAAAATAATAAAAAAAGTTGAAAATATTTTTCATGTCATTCCACTATAACCTTTTCAACAATTTCTCACAATTACTTTACAAAACTTCCCACATAATCAAATAAAACTAAATAAAAAACGAAAAAATAAATTCATTTACAACAAAAAAAAAAAAGGCCAAGAAAAAAAGTAATCAATTATAAGAAAACCACAAAAACAAAAATAAACTATTAAATCACTGATGAAAAAACACTGTTGAAAAAAAAAGGAAAATAAAATATTGGGTTACCACAGATACAAACTAAACTTAACATGTACCAGCACTGACCTTTCACCAAATTTATTTCATTTTTTTGGAAATTTTTTTGCAGTTAAAAAACTTCAAAAAATACAACAGACAAGACAATCAATGGTAGATTCCATTCATGTTATGTAGCTATATAGACTGCAGTAAAATTGCCTTGGGTCTGACAATTACAACTGTAACCACAAAGACAAAGTTTGGTATTGAATTTGTGTTTCTGTTTTCGGCAATAAACTACATCTGCATACAATATACATGAACTAATAGAAATCTCCAAAAATAAAGGAAACTTAAATTCGTACAAGTGCAAGTACGAGCAACTACGATTACAGTTTTTAACCACCCAGCCTGCCGGCCGGCTAATTGTATTTATTTAAACTTTTTTTTTTAATTTTTGTTTATCAATTTAATGCCATGCAGTCAATTGCCAAACATGTTAATGGTTTTAAATATGTATGTCGACCATACTTCCATGTTTATTAGATTGGCTTTAGAAAATCGGAAAATCAAACTGATACTCTCGAAACAAGGCCGATAATTTAGAGAAACAAAGTTATATATACATTTCATTAAATTAACGATTTGAAAGAAGTAGCTTTCCTATAGCTTTAAGATACAAATTCGATTTTTTTTTTGACAAGCGTTCCTTCTCATTATGCCCTCTATAGAATAAAGATTTTTGAATGCCTGACTAATGTAGATTTACTATGTTGGGTTTTATTTCTAAACAAGTGCATTTAAATTTTAAAAACTTTTAGAAAGGCGTTTTAATTTAGCCAGAAGTTAGTACAATTGTTAAATTACATTTGGGATATTTGAAAGTTTTCTAACTCCTTTCACTTCACAAATCTAGTCAAACTCTTTTTATAGCCTACACCACTATAATAGGGAACATAGTAACACCCAAAATTATTTTTCCTACAGCCACCTTAAAGTAAACCTTGTTAAAACCCAAGAACGATGCTTATTGAAAATGGTTAAAATCGGTCCATTATTTCGTATAGCCACCATGCAACCGTACCCCCCGAATTGGGCTTTTGAGCTCATAAATATATTAAATGTTCTTGTATCACTGCAAAAATCGACAAAACTTAGTTTCATATAAGTCTTAATGATTCTGCTGATTTTCGTAATGATCGGGCCTCCCACACTAAGTCAACTTCAGAAACTTGATGGTTAAAATTTACTTATAAACACTAATATCACGATGATATTCTGCATACATAACTGATGTAGGCGTCAATCCCTCTAACATGATTTATAAGAATAGGACCATATTAACCCCCTGGCCCCATATAACCCCTCTTTTAGAAAATCCCTTTTTTGTCAACAAATTGTTAAAATATTTCTGAAACTGAAATTAAATAATTTATTATTAAAAAAATAATAAAAATTTGTAACATAATCATTGGTGTAGGGTATCATGCCCGACTATAAATGCTTACTTGTTTTGAAAACTAAATTTATTTTTTCTGCATAAATATTATTTTAAGTTATATGAAATAAATCCGAGATTTATCTAACCAAAACTTTAGCGCAAACCATTAATATCATAGAATTAGAATCAAATTTTAAGGAAACTTTTTGGAACGTACAAAATATAGAATAGAAAGAAATACAATCAAAAGTACTCTAGTGTTATATTTATATTTACTTCAGTAGTAAGGAACTTGGATAAGGTTATTTATAGTTTGTATCTGATAAATTCTATAGCAAAATTTATAAATTTTCAGTTGAACATACAAAGGTATGTACAATTCTATAATTTGAGATTATGGTTCCTACAAATGAAGTGGGTCATATATGGGGTGAAGAGTCAATTATGGAACTACAAATAAAAATATATTTTTTTTGGTCCTCAGTTCCCTACAAGTAATTGAAATTCCTGACCTCACTATAATGTGTGAAAAAAAATATCTAAAATTTGTTTTAAAGTATTAGGGGAAAATAATTTTAAATTTTTTTTAGAGTATTTCTGGTCGATAAAACGGAATTCGAAATTGTGTTAACATTGTACAGAGATCAAAATTTGCAATCGCTGGTAAAAAATGCTTTTCGAAAAGCGGTCACGGGACACCCTACTATACAATACAACATATTAATGGAACATTTTTGGGACTTTAGCTCTTTTCTTTCGGACTCTAGCGTATATGTAACAGGCAGGTAATATCTTCATTTTATAATCTAATAAAGACCTGAATATATGTATGTACATTTGGGGGTCTTAGACCAATTTTTCGATGTGTTACAAATGGAATGACAAAACCAATATACCCCCAACTTTTTTGATGGTAGGTATAAAAAGATAGTATTAGTGGTAATTTTCAGTCATCTGGCGCCGTTCGCTGGGGTTTTATATAGCTTTTTAAATGCAAATAAATAGATAGATAGAAAGACAGATGGACATGGTTAGATTATCTTAGAATCTTTTAAGTTCCATAGGAAAAAATCAATGTACCCAATGCTGGGTTTAAAGATAACATATATAATTGGGTATATAACTTAAAAATGCTGATATTTTTTTACTTTTCCCATCTCTCTAACAACATATGGTTTCCGCGCTAAGAGATCTGCTCATCTTTTGGAGCCAAGAACTAATTAAGTCTATTTTGAATAACCTATTCTGAAGTGAACCGCATACGAAGAGTATGTTCTGCATCGGCATAACTTCTCAATCTCCTCTTTCAAAATAGTTTTTAACTAGTATAGAATTATGTGGCGGAACGTTATCATGATGAAATATTACATCCTTATATCTGTCCGCATATTCATGGAGTTTTTCGGCTAATACTACAAACGACTCTGTGACACTCGGTACAGGTTCCCAGAGATAGTCTGGTTAGATTTCTGCAGCTCTTAATAGCCAAATACGGAACATTACCATAGAGCCATGGATATTGGGCTTTAGTGTCGATTCGGCTTACTAGCAGTGCTACACATAAGATCTCTTACGCTTCGAGTTATCGTAATGGAATAATTTTTCACTGCAAGTCTCTAGGCTTCAATTCATAAGCTGCTCAATATATCTGCTTTTAAATGAATTCTGATGCTCGATAATATTTTTTAATTACTCGTGTTTAGAATGGTAACAGTCTTAGTGGAATAATGTTTCCAATTCTTGGTAGTAAATTTTTTCTGTGACCTATTCCGTGACAAAAACATCACTTCTGAATCGTACAAACCATCACTTGTTCTTTGAAACCGAGGGAACTCCTTTTCACCAGTCCTTCTCTTTTTATTAAAAACTTTGTTGGCCCGAATTTCGACATTTTTTAGCGTACTTTAAGTATTTTAGCTTTAAGATTCATTATCCGGAAAAACTTTAGGGGGTGGAAATACATAAGAATCTAACATTTATGTGAAAAAGCTAAACCCCCAAATAATTTCACATTTAAACACAAATAAACACTTTTTCTTTCAACTAAAACTTACGTGATATCCTTGTCAGAACTCTTTTGAGAGCGTGTACGTAATATCGAATTTAATTCCCTCATAACATCACTGCCCTTACGATCGAATTCAGAGAACAATTCATTATCATCGATATTATTCAAATCAGAACCACTGCGACTCTTAATCGAAGCAGATCTTAAAATAATAAAAATACATATGCTAAATAACAAAACTACACATTAGGTACTCGAAATTCACTCACCTATCTATAGAATCCATACTGCTGGCAACATCAAAATCCATCATTAGATCATCCGAACAAATGGATTCACAAGGTGATAGAGTATCTAAAGATTCTGCTCTTTCCATAACGGCTTTGCGTAAAGATAAAGGTGTGCGCAAACTTAATTCCATAGCTTGATGCAGAGCACTGCGTGATTTATTTATAGAAGCACGCATTGAACCCATACTTTCCATTAGTGTAGGTGTATCGGTTCTATCCCGGCGAGAAGTGCCACTCTCAGCACCACCATCTTGAGAGTCTTGGTTAAATAGTAAAGCTGGCTGATCGGCGATTTCATCATCAATTAAGTTACCACAATCGGAGAGGGATAGGGAATGTGAAGCATGCGTAGGGGTGCCAGGCGATAGAGGACTAGCCAAATCCAATTCGGGTGATATCTCATCAATATCTTTCTCTTGCAGTTCTTCATTCATTTTATGTTTCTTTTGCTTACAAGCCGCTTCCTCCGACTCGGTACTACTCACTAAACTATCTGTGGGCGAAGTCTCATCTTCCAGTAGGAAAGTGCTACCCTCTAAAGCCATTTCAGCGAATTTAGTTTCATTAAGAGTATCACAAAATGATTTTGGACGTTCAAACTTATCGGTCTCACTTTCAAATATAGCCAGAGTTGTGTCTAATTTTGCAGCATTGTCAATTTCATCATTTATATTGAGCGGTACAGGTTCTGTGAGTGAGGCTAAATATAGAAACGCAATTTAATTAATTTCCATATTTTAAAGAAAATATCCAAGGTAATTGTACTTACATATTGTGCTAATGGGTACATCAGTATTTAAAGTAATCAAATCATCATCATTTAGATCAAACGATAATTTATTTTCAATTTCCTTGCGATTATCTTCCAACTTATTGTCCTGTTTGTTACTGTCTTCACTACTGCTGATACTCAAATTACTGAAATCATTTGCAGCCAATGATTCGCCCGCATTACACCAGGATGATATAACTGAGCTACCGGGAGACGATGTCTTACTGGAGCAAGTGTTAATGTCCTTAAACTGACGTTCCTAGAGAAATGATAAGAAAACATAATTGAAAACGAATTGTTATTTTCAATTATTTAAGATTTACCTTCAAACCCTTTTCAGTGGCTGAACGATCCAAATGTAATTTTTCCTCATCTACCGATTCACTGTCCTCTTCTGATGATTGACGGCTGATTAAATTTGTAATGGCCTGATGTAGAGGTTTAGCATCCGCTGTAAATAATTTTTATTAATAGCTTCAAAGTTTTAACTTTTCGCGTTCTGTAAACCCACCTTCTGCGGAATTTTCCTTATGTTTGGCAACTGAGTTCCTTAGCTCATATGATTCTCTACTTAAAACCGTATTGGAGCGTATTAAACCACTTAAGGGTAAGGGTACCGTTTGATTTTCAGCCGGTAATTTAGGTAAAGCTAAAGGCTCCACAATCGAACTACTTTCACTGGATAGTGAATCATCTAAATCCTTCACCTCAAATCTACCGCGACCATTCATCACCATTTGTAAATTACGGGGACGACTGCGACTACGTTTAGGTGAAGATGTACGTTTCACTGATCCCGCCCCACTAGATGTGGAACTATCCAATGCCATATCTATGCTGGCTATGCCTGAATCTGCTGAAATCTCTCGACTGCCACTAAATGTACGTCTTGTGCTATTTGTCATATGTTTGGCCTGTTTGGCATCCATACGCTGAGCTCCCTGCACAGATGACTGTCCCACCATTACTGGATGACGACCAGATGAATGTTCTCTTGTACGCGTACCCGCACCCAATGCCTGCGTTGCAACATACGAATTGTTGGCTGGTGTTGTAGGTGTGGTAGCATTAATACTAATGGCCACAGCAAATTCAGGCTTTGGCAAGCTAACAGTTTGTAAAGTGAATTTTGAATATGCTGTTGCCATTGCTGTTGCAGCTACTCTGGGTGTTGGACGTACTCTGCATACAAAAGGAAAGGGGAGAAATATTTATAATTGAATTTTAAGTGTTTAAGATTGTAAATGTATGTCTATTTTTAAAGAAAAGTAAGTACTTACATGACATTATTGTGGTGTAGTAGGCCTGTTGCCATATTATGGTGGCTGGCACGATAATTCATGTTGCCACTTGTTGTTGTTGTTTGTGTATTTAGTGCCGGCTGCTCAAAGAACTGACGTCTATCATACTCTATAGTGCTATTTTGTTTTAAATTGAATGTTATCGTTTTTGTTTGAGTATTTCTGGGTGCTGCGCCTGTTTCGGTATCGCTTTCATTTGAAGACGATGTTGTTCTGCCAGCATGTGCACTCTTTGAACGACGTTTCACTTAAAATTGAAAAGATAAGTAATGTGTATATTAATAATTAAATTGTGTACGATAGGGTGTATGTTTTAATATCAGGTGAAATAGTAAATATTAAAGGTCGACTATGAGTAATAACTATAGAAACCAGAATTTTTACTATACATATATATAACTAGTAGTGGAAATAATGAAACTAATAACGTCTGCAAGTACATTGTCATTATATATCTTTGTTTTATATACCCTATACCACTATATTGGGTATTATACATTACTTTTTATACCCACCATCAAAAAAGATGGGGGGTATATTGATTTTGTCATTCCGTTTGTAACACATCGAAATATTGGTCATAGACCCACAAAAGTATATATATTCTGGGTCCTCATTAAATTTTAAGACGATCTAGCCATGTATGTCCGTCTGTCCGTCCGTCCATCCGTCCTTCCGTCTGTCTGTCTGTTGAAAGGGTTGAAATTTCACATAAATATTTCTTATAGGTAAGGTTTGTTTGGTATTGAAAATGGGAAATATCGGTCCACGTTTTTGGATAGCCCCCATACAAGTGGCCCCTCGAAAAGCAGCTTTAACAGCCATAACTTGTTTAAAAATACGAATATAGCGATGAAATTCGACATAATTAAGTTTCTTGTGATCCAAAATCACTATGCAAAATTTTATGATCGGTCCATAATTGACCCTACCCCCCATATAAGGTCCCCTTCAGAAAATGACTTTAACGCTCATTACTGTCTTAAAAATACTAGTATATAGATGAAATTCGACATAAGTAAGTTTCATAAGAGTCTAAATCTATCTAAAAATTTTTATGAGGATCGGTCCATGATTGACACTACCCCCCATATAAGATACCCTTCAGAAAATGACTGCAACGCTCATTAATGGCTTAAAAATACGAGTGTAGCGATGAAATTCGACACAAATAAATTTAATACGAACCAAATTCTGTCTACCAAATTTTATGAGGATCGACCCTTCAGAAAATTACTTTAACGCTTATAACTGGTCTAAAAATACGAGTATATAGATGAAATTCGACATAAGTAAGTTTCATTCGAGTCAAACGAGGTTTGATGGTGGTTATATAAGATTCGGCATAGCCGAATATAACACTCTTACTTGTTATAATTGTATTTTCTGTGTCGACTGGCTAAGACCCCTCGCTTACCGAACTGTCCACGTAATTGCACTACGAATCGAAATTTAGTTTGATAGTTTGTATAATATTAGACCCAATAAAATCCTGTATTGATTTTGGTTCAAATCGTCCATGTTTTGACATAGGCCACACACAAATATCCTACCGAAACTAACCTGAAATACTTATGCAGAACCGTAGTCAAAATTTGCGTAACTATCGGAAAGCTATGGCCCATTCATAAAATCATTTGAACATTAATAATTAACTTTTTAATACAAATCGTCTTTCAATATATCTCGGCTTATATTCGTATAGTTAAATTACCAAGTTAAAATATATGAACGAACCCTACAAAATTATATATAAATATTTTCCCCCAAAAGCTTTTCTTGCTAAATTTGAAAAAAATGAGGATTTTAGAATTAATAGTTTTTCAGATATTTGAATTTTTGCCCATTTTTTTCCCTCACATGTCCATATGGATGTTAAAGTTCATCATGAAAAATTTGAAGATTCTAGGCCTAATAGTTTCCTGGATAAACGAATTTTTGTATTTAATTCATATGTGAGTTTCTCCCCTCTTATTGCTAGTCTGTCCATTTTTTTGTCCTAAATATTCATGTTGATTCTAAAGTAGCTCCAACTAATGTTATGACTATAACTGTTATATTTTCTCAGATATACTAATTTAAGATTTTGTTATATGGGAAGTGTAACGCCCACTATAGCTAGTCGGCCGATTTGTTCATATGAATGTCATTTCAAAATTTGAGGACTCTAACTGTTGCAGTTTCTGAGATATGTAACTTTTAATACTTATTTTGTATGTGGTCTTGTCACCTCGCCCACTATAGCTATCCGACCGATTTGTTCATATGTATGTCAAAGTTGTCCCTATAAAATATGATAGTATCCTGGATAAACGAATTTTTGTATTTAATTCATATGGGAGGTGCCTCGCCTCCTATTGCTAGTCCGTCCATTTTTTGTCCTAAATACTCATGTTGATACTAAAGTAGCTCCTATAAATTTAAGGACTATAACTGTAATATTTTTTCAGATACACTAATTTAAGACTTTGTTATATGGGAGGTGTAACGCCCACTATAGCTAGCCGACCGATTTGTGAATATGTATGTCAAAGTTGTCCATATAAAATTTGAGGACTCCAACTGTTGCAGTTTCTGAGATATGCAACTTTTAATTATTATTATGCATGTGGGCGTGAAACCTCGCTCACTTGAAATTTCGAAGTAAAAAGTAGCCTATAGTTCCTTACAGACTTCAAACAAACCCACAAACAAACAAATAAAACAGTCAATTTAACAAATGGCATTTGTATAGGTACTGCAGTCAAATGAGGTCGATCATAACGAAAATCAGATAGATTTAAGTTGTAGAGATTCTAGCACATGTAACATACATAATTATGAGCTCCAAAATAAAATTTGGGCGTACGGTTATATGGGGGCTAGCTGAATGGTATTGCTCTATATTGGGTGGGACTAAAAGGACATATTACGGTGGCTTGAACATTATTATATTATTTTTTAATTTTATAAACAAAAGAGTTCTTGAATATAATTAGAAAATCCGTTCATTTGTCATCATTCAAAACTAATTTAATTATATCTTTCCTATTAAACTAAATATAATTTTAATTTAATTAAATATTTTTTAATTAAATAACTATCTATTAAAAACATAATTAAATCTATTGTTAAAAATAATACCAATCAATAGGCAGCTCGTCCTCTAATGGTGCATATTTTTAAACCGATATATTTCCAATACCTACACATTATGGATACTGCTAAATACTTATTAAATGAACATATATTTTCAAACTTACAATTGCTAACCAGCACACCTTTAGTATTATTTCCATTAGCGTTGTAATTATTATTTTCAATATTATCATGGGATTCTCTCTGTTGGCGTGATGTTATGTCCGTAGACGAGGGCCTATATGTGCCACGGAAACCAAAACGACTTCCAGCGCCCGGCAATTTAACATTAGCAACAGCACCACCACCAGCGCCAACACTTGTATTCTGATTTGTTTGTATAGTCGCAGCGGCTGCTGCTCCCATTTTTTCAAAATACACATTGTTCAGCAAATCTAGTTAAATAAATAATAATACAAGTTATTAAATTAACAAAACTACAGGAAAAAAGGTATAGAAAATAAATAAACCAAACACCACAAAAAAAACTAACTAAATAACGTCATAACAAAGAAACCCCATTAGGTCATTTACACTCACCTGCATTTCCATTATCATCCCTAGTGACTAGTTTGTCTGTGCAAATTTTATTGTTTGTATCTATCACAGTATCTGTTCTATAACTATTACCATCCCCCGTATTTAGTCCATCGCCAGCAATCTTGCCACCACCACCACTACTACCGTTAGTTTTTTCCGTATTATCACTATCGTTGGCATTATATTTATCCTGTTTCTTGGAATGTTTGCTGTTCTCTCCCTTTATTAGTTTCTTTAGTTTTTTTGGTGTTGTATTTAGGTTTTTGCGAAAGCCGAAAGACATCGCTGTCCCCTTCGTTTGGATTTCACCTGCATTGTGCTGTTTCTTTGAGTTCTTTTTACTTTCGGCTTGACCCTAAAATAAAATTAAAAAGATAAATTAAATAAATGTTATTTAATGTCTAAATAAAGTAGTTTGTTTGAGAACGCAAGATTTTATCTGCATTAACTTATGCCACGCATGTTAGAAATTGTGTAATTAAAGTTGTTCGCAAATGTACTTATACAAACATTATTTCTTATTTTATTTCATATCTAGAAATTAAATATATTACTTTTATGTTTTCAACAAAACTTATAGGAAATATAGATTTTGTCATTCTATCTATAATACGTTTAAATGTTATTTCCTTGGTTTTAAGAATATCGTTCATTTAATTTAAGAATGAAATCATCAAACCCCCTTAATAGGAGTTTTATGGGATGTGGGGACAATTATGGACCGATCCCCATACAATTTTTGGTAAAAAAAATGGTTATTTAACTTTAAAAAATTTATTATTGTATAATTTTAAACCAGTAAACCAGTACCCATTCATAGTCCCTTTAAGAAATCATTTGAAGGCCTGTGAGCATTAGAATCACGATAAAAATTCGACATCAAAAACTATTGTATAAATATAAATTTTTTTCTCCAAATTTTATGAGTTCCCCATATTTTACCATCGTATAGGGCCCATATAAGGCCTTTTTCGAAATACCAGATTTTCATAAAAAAATTACATTTCGGAGGAGGAACTTATATTGAAAGTAGGGTCAATTATGAACCGATCCTCATTATATTTGTCAGAGAGATTTTATAGTTGTTATAAATCCGTTTTATGATGAATTTCGTTTTTTTTTTACATTTTGATGCAAGTAATGAACCTTATAGTTATATATTGGTAGTAGGGTCAACTATAGACCGATGATAATAAAAATTGACAGAGTGATTTTACTTTCTATAAATCTAACGGCATTGAGGGGAACTTTACATGGGGGGTAGGAACAATTATGGACCGATCCTCATAAAATTTTGAAAATATTTGGCGTTATAAGTGACAATGTAGTTATGAGAGTTATGAACATTTTCAATGAAGGACCTTATATGGATTAGAGGGTCAATTATCCTCGAATTTTGTTGCTATATTGGATTTTTTTTAGCAAATTGGAGTGTTTAAGTAATTTTCTGAAGGGACTTTACATGGGGGACATTAGGTGCCGATCTACATAAAGTGTTAAAAAAAGTTTTTGTTAAATCGTGGACCGATAATTCAATAAAACAAATGCAAACAAACAAAAAACATTTTGGCAAAATTTCAATTCTCGAGCTTGTCTGTCGGTCTGTCATGTTTTCGACAGACAGACGGAAGGACATGGCTAAATCGTTTTAGAATCTACTGAGATAGATTCGGATACAAATCTTTCTTAGTCAGCAATGTAATCTTTGTACAACTCTCCCTCCCCCCGGGGCATGTTTCCTTGATAAAAGATCATCATCTTGGTGTGTTATAATCCCTATGGTAAAGAGGTGCTACCAGTACCTCTAGTCTGCCGGGACTATAAAATGGTGATGTGACTTCACTCCTCGGCTAGTCTTTGGAATGATTTGACATGGGGTTTAACCAGAGAACTATATAATCTGGTACTATGGGTAGTCAGTTACCCGCAGGAGTTGACCTGTCTGCTTAGCTGGTTGAGGTTCATTCGGGATCCACGTAGTGGCTGTAGTTTAAACCTTAATTCGCAGGAAGAATGAGTTGCTTTCAAAAGACTGATGTACTGTGAAATCAATATTTCAGGATAAGTTCGGTGCTGTTGCCTATTGACAGCAAATACCTCACAGAGAAGTGACTGGGGGACTAAGCGTTGGAAATGAGTTGGTGTTAATTGTATATATTACAGGATGAATGTAGGGTTATACGAAACTTATCCGTCCGTATACCTAGAATAAGTGTGTAGTATGTTGTTCTCTTATGAGTGTGTCAGATAAATGGGAAGTGTGCTGGGTTGAATGGTGACGGATGAAAGCTATCTTATACAAGTGATACCATTGAATTTTCCTTCCATGTCCAGGTATGTTCAGAGAAAACTCTGTTCATACCAGAATTACCACAGTGTGTCAGTGTGAGTTAGAACAAAGTCTGAGCTTACTTATTTGATGGCTTTGTACTTCGGTCTACCGGTTACGTCTCTAGCTGCTCTTGCCGACTCAACACAGGCCATCCCATCTGCGTGGTAGTAAACGGAAGTGATGTTTTTGCATCTCGGAAGTTATGCTACGGGGCAGCAATGGTCAGAGATTAGATAGCTCATGTACTTGAGCAAAGTGCACGTATACTGGACCGGAACTTCCATTTACGTAAATTGCCACCTGTGTGTAAGAAGCACAATGAGGCAGTGGTGAATCGTCACATAAGCTCACCCAGTGGTTGAAAAAGGCCACCGTGAAATAAGGCTGGTGTTCACGTATAGCATTTCGACATTCGTTATCTTTGTACCCTATCATTAAAATAATTTATTACTCAAAGCCTTCTCAATCAATTTACTAATGAAATAAGAAAGTATAGTTGGACATAGCCGACCATATGATACCCTACACCAGCAATGAGTATACAACTTTATTTATTTTAATAGCACGAATTTTCAAATATATGGATGTTTCAGGAGTCGTAAGAAGTGTACCTGTGAAGTTTAAAATTTGTCCGATAGATAGTGTCGTAACTTTTAAAATAACAAGTCCGAAGACCTGTTTTAACCATTTTCAATATGCCTTGTTTTTAGGTAAAAAAAAGCGTCAAATTCCAGACGGACGATCATGACTTAATTGACATAGAAATTGATCAATAGTAGCATTAGAATCAATAGTTTAGTTAATTATATACACACCCCACTATAGTCCTGTAGGGTATAATCAAAATCTTTTAAAACTAAGGTTCAATAAATGTATTATTTATTTAATGTTTTTGATCTTTCCGGAAAATACATAAATATTCTATGTATTTTAAAATAGTATGTAAACACTTAAAAAAAGAACATTAAGAAAAATAAAACTATAATAGTTATACTGCCAAAATTTTCACAAAATATTATAAATGACATGACAACCTTCAACTTAGCCTGCTAAAGTGCAAAAATATTGTTGCATTTGCAATGACCCCAGCGGTTTTAACATTCTCACAAGAGGCTTAAATATATATTACCGTTGACAGAAATTTAAAAAGAATTCATTCACAAAATCAGTCAACCATAGTCAATGGACAATAATTGTATATATAAATAGAATTGTATGTGTTTGGAGAAATCAATATAAAGTTTCGTATTTGCCAAGTTATCGCATAATATACGTAATAGTTTTATAGTACATATGTAATTTAAGTTCTTTTTTTGGTTTGGTGTTATTATACAATAGTTATTATATCGAAATCAAAAGAACTATGTAATAAAAAAAAGCTAAACAAGTTACTAAACTTAGAGTTTTATTTGCAACAAATCGTCAGTGTGGCGTCACACGTCAAATCCTGCAAAACAAATGATGACTAATCATCGAGCCCACGTTTACGTTTCGGAAAAAAACATATGGTGGAACACATTCATACTCCAGCGGCATAAAAATGAAAATAAAAACAAAAATAACAAAAACAAAAACAAACACTGAAACTGAAACAAGAACACAACTTGTCTTCAGGTACTGGAATAGGACTTTAAGGGATAATTTCTTGTTACAAAATATTGCACTTGACATAATCCACAAAAGAAAAAAACCCGAAACAATGTAGCAGCCAGAAGAGGTTTCTCAATGTGGATTGTAAACTCTTCACGAGATGTGTGTATACTATAACATGCAAATAATCACAAGTACTATGTACTATAAGTATTATTTCCATTTTTATTTGTTCTTTTATATTCTTTTACGTTTCTTTTTTTTTGTGAAAAAAATGCCTTTAAGCCGGATAAGACTAGAATTGTGAATGTGAATTATTAATCAAAGTAGAAAAAAATAAATTTACCATTTCGTCTTCTTCTGTGTCAAGTGATGCTGTTAATTCAAGAATTTCAACGTCGTTATCATTTAATAAATGCTGCTGCTTAATATCAAGCGCCTCGTATTCTTCTAGATCGATGACGAGGTTTTCACATTCATCCATCTTGTAGGTAGATATTTCTCTTGTAGCCCCCTGTGTAGGCGGGCCTTGATATATTGAATTTTCAACCTTGCAGCCGTTTTTCACTATTACAAATTTTTCTTTCTTAGTTTTTATTTCTTTTAAAGAGCTTTACAATAGTAATTTGGTTAACAAAATTTTAAAATTTTTTTCCATTTAAAAACTAAAACAATTGAGCTTTTTGTTTAATAAAACATTTCACTTTTTTTAATTTTTTCCAGCTTAATAAAACTTAACAAAAAAGTCCTTGACTTGTAATAACTTTTGCGTATTATTTTTTTGCATATAATTAAAAATCTTTAGCAATTTTCTTTATGATTTCTTAGTTAATTTTTAACAATACTACTAAAACATTTTTTCTTCTTAAATTTTCTTGCCACAGATTTTCACATATATTTTTCACAATTTTACTTATATTTTCTTAATTTTACTTTTTTTACAGCGACCGTAACGTTTTAATTCTTCTGTATATAAAATGTTTGTGACACTGGAAATTCTGGGATTTTCTTAGTACTGCAATGTCTGCCTGTGTGGACTGCATGATTTTCCACAAAACATGCGCAATATCAAGAAAAATCTCAAATTAAAAATAAAAGTTGACATTAAATTTTGGTGGTTGCTTTTTCATAAAGTCTGGTATTAAGGGCGACATCTGTGGACTTCAGTTTGGTAGTAAATAGGGGTTGATGTCAAGACTTTGTTATTGAAAAATTTTTGTCAGGAAAATGTTTTTGTTTAGAGTTTTTACTAGAAATTTATCCTTTCGATAAAACTACTGGTTTAGCTTTCGATAATGTATTTAAGGACTTGTAAAGCTTTTTAACAAAAATATGTATTAAAAAATATACACCTCAAGCTTTATAAAGCCAAAGAAGCTTTCGAAACTTTAATTTGTTTGCCTGTAATATATTTAAGATTTTATTAGTGTACAAAAATGCCATCCTTTACAGGCGATGACTTAAGGCCCTCAGCTCATCTTATTAACTGAGCTATGACAATAATAGCGTTGTTAGATTTGCTTAATTAAGTGTCTATTAGTGGTTCTTCTGGTCAAGCAATGCAAATGGAACTTTTAATATTTTCCGTTTAATATTCTTGAAGGTGAAATATTAGTGATTAATCCGGCAATGAATATGTGAAGGTCAAATATATAAGTAAAAGTTATAATCGAATAACTGATAGTTATGCTGCTTTAAAGATCCTGGTTAGCAGGCGTTCTACCACTTTCTTCTCAACCACTGGGTAAGCTTTGTTGCGACTCACCACCGCCCCCTCAATCTTCAATGAAGAAATGGATAAAGCCGGTCCATGTTCAAGCACTTTGCTCGAGTATTTGAGCTATCTAATCTCTGACCATTGCTGCCCCGTTGCTTAACTTCCGAGATATAAAACATCACTTCCGTTTACAACCACGCAGATGGGATGGCCTTTGGCTACAGCTCCTAGAGACGTAACCCGTTTTTTTTTTATTTATTCTAGGTAAACGGGCCACTACGTTGATCCCGAAGGAACCTCAACCAACTGACCAGCCAGTACATAGTCCTGCAGGCAACTGGCCACCCGTAGTACTAGATTATGTGGTTCTATGGTTAGACCTTTTTCCAATTTATGCAAGGACTAAGCCAGGCAGTAAATTGTAAACACCAATTTATAGTTCCGGCCGACTTGAGGTATTGGTAGCACCAAGATGGGATCTATCATCAAGGAAACATGCCCGGGGGGCGGCATCTCAGAGAAGCTATAGTATGACCGAATATTAATATTATATTTTTGTCCCGCTGTGAAAACACTGGGATACCCATTTTACTTAGATCTCTCGATTCGTCTTTGATTTAAAGTTTTTCTATTATGTTATGTAGTGTCAGAATTGTTCTTTGGGGTATATGTCAGGCAAATAATTAGGGTGATCGGATAACGTTAACCGATGCCGCATGTAATAATAACACAGGCCATAGATTATAAAGCTTTTTAAATAATTTTCACAAATATATTGTTTGGTGTGCTGATCTCGAAAATGACTATAAAAAGCCCTATCACCGATAAATTTTCCATATTTTGAAAATTTAGTCCCCCTATATACTTGTGTCTCAAATATTCAATTCTTCAATTTTACAGAAGTTACGAATATTAATCTTTACCTCTAGACTTAAACTCTAAGTTATAAAAGTTTTGGTAGATAAGTGGTTTGTGTTCTAGTCTGGTAGACCGGAGGTGGTAGGTTCGATTCCCACCTGAGGCACTGGTTAAGGAGCGCACAACAGGCCCGATAGAGGTCTAGGTGTATTTCTTCTGATTTGATGTATATATGTGCATCCTCCTTTCAAACTAACTAACTATAAAAGTGCATTCTGGAAAAATTTCGGAATATAGGACGACTTTTACTAGTGGAGCCACGGCTCTGAAGCGGAAAATGTTTTTTTTTTTTTGAAAAAATTTTACTACTTAATTTATATTTTTTAATCTTAACAGCAAATAATTGAAATATATATACATCGTGCCAATAAGATATAAAGCACAAAAATTGGTCAAAATTTTAAAAGTTATTACAAATTCCTCAAATCATTTAGTGTCACAAAATACTAAAATGAGAAATACTTCAAAAAATTGAACCCATTTTGGGAAATATTCCAATAAAACTATTTCATTATATTAAATATATTCCTATTAACTTGAATGTGAGTTTTTATCTACATTAAGATGCGGTAACCGTATTTAGGGTATAATCATAAATGAAAAACCCTTCAGAAGGCAGTTATAAAACTCCAGTTTAAAACTTTTAACAATTTCGTTAAGTAAATTTTAAAATTTTGACAAATCTCCTTGCGACTTATGCACAATGAAGCAGAGAATAAAATAGTAAAGAAATTAATTCAAGGTCTCACACAGATTAGCATTATTTTGAGGATTTTTTGGTGATATTTATGAAAATTTGCCTTAATTCCTTTTTTTGTGCGAAAATCTTTTCAGAATATAAAATTAGAGATAATTACAGTAGTATACATACCCAGTAAAAACTTTAATTACCATGTAAGGGGTTAAAATGATAAAATTTAGTTACACAATAGCATTTTAAGTCATTATTTTAACACGGTGATGTCATTGGAGGGAAGTACTTACCACAAACGATTACAAGTAATTAGAAGAAGTAATCATTGTAAATTTCATGAAAAAAGGTATACAGCTTCCATATTTTCTCTAGCAAGATAACTAATAAATTAGAAAGTATTTAAAAAACACATTATTAGTAAGACCTTATTAGACTACTTCTATGTAATCCAGACGAGTTGTAGTAGTTATTGAAAAGTAAGTAATTACAATTGAAAGCTATTACCTAGTTTTTGCTGGGTACATATACACCTGAAGTCTTATTAAAAAAATAATGTTAACCCATAAACTGTGAAATTCAAACTCGGTCTATGCAATATTAGAATATTTTCATAAATCCATACTGAAATATTATTTCGTTTTCAACCGATTTAAATGAAAGTTGTGAAAACTATATAAAATATCGATAATGATATCGAAAAAATTAAAATTGTATGAAATATCCGTCATATAAATAAGTATGAACTAAATATTCAAAACCATATTCCGAGAAAATTGTGGGTGATGAAGAGAAATAAGATTCTGATTCAGCACCTAAAAATATATAAAATCACTTTAAATTTTGGCTTGTGTAATTCTCCATTTGACTGCTTTTATGTAATTAAAATGGTTATCAAGAAATTGAAAGTTTTTGTTGCTTTCTTTATAATAGCTTTTAAATAGTAAGAGTATCAAAAATATCTAATATCAAAAAAATCTAGTAATGACAGCAATATATTTCTTAAAAATTTTAGTTTTCTTCATAGAACTCTTACCTTAATATGACAATCATCATACGTATCCATAGGCACATCGTCATCAGGTGCTAATGACTGCTTTGATTTTTTCTTAACTTTATGTTGTTTATTACTGAGTTTTTTCTTATTCAGATAATAATCTATTAATGAAGCAGTTTTAGGTGTTGGACTAGCAGGTGGCTGATGCAATTGCTCTTCTTGTTGTTGTTGTTGATATAAAAGCAGTTGTGCCAGGTAGGGAGGTATTTCAGCATAATAATTATTATCCATATTATTCGCATTATTGCAACTAATGTTGGTATTATTACAAATGTTATTACAATTGGCAAGATTTATATCAGCATAGATGATATTTTCTTGAACAGTACCTCCATTATCATTATTGCTGTTGCTGTTGTTATTATTATCACTACAAGACGTTGAACATTTAATAATGGTTATATATTTGTCTTCATCATCATAATCATTATTATCCTCGGAGACATACTCATCGTCATCACCATGGTCGTTTTTATAAACTAGCATAGACTCAACGACGTCACCATAATCATTGTTATCTTTTTTGTTGCATTCGCTGTTGTTGTTTTTGCTGCCGTTGTTTGTGTTGTGGTGTACATCATCAACTGCATCATTGCTCTTGTCATCATTGTTAACAATCTGCTGCTTTTGTATACTTTTTGTAACTGTCCAATGGTCCAATGAATGTAAACAAGTGTTTTCTTCTTGAGCAAAGTCGTCTTTACAATTTTGTTCCTGCTGCTGCAACTCTTGATACTGCCACCTTTGTTGCTGTTCTTGTTGTGGTTGCTCCGTCTTTTGGCTAGCATTACAACTACTACTTGTGCTACTGATGACAACAATGTCGCCACCATTTGGTGTACTCTTGACAGCATAGTACTCGCATAATTGATTCCTATGCTCATCCTTAAGTGCAACATACTCGGAACTTTCAGTGAATTTACTTAAAATATGGCTGGCTGTTGCCAAATCTTTTTCAGATAATGCAATCGTTAAACTTGTAGGATTTTTCGATATACACTTGCCCATAGATTCTGCTCTTTATTATGATGTGCTCAACTCCACTATTCTATTTCAATACGGACTAAACTAATGATAATGTTAAAGGTGTCGCCCTGAAAGTTAAAAGGTAAGTTGAAAGATATAAAGACAATTTTGAAGAGTGTGTACATATGCATGTATGTGTGGATGGGTGTTTTTGTCTCAAAATTGCAATCAACTTTTATTCACTTGTTTGCTTATGAACTGATTTGAGTTTAAACGTAATGTTGCACAGTGGTACAGACTAGATTAAAGACTGGACTATAAACTAGACTATAGACTAGAGTATAGTCTAAACTATAGACTAGATTATATACTAGACTATAGACTAGACTATAGACTAGACTATAGACTAGACTATAGACTAGACTATAGACTAGACTATAGACTAGACTATAGACTAGACTAGACTATAGACTAGACTATAGACTAGACTATAGACTAGACTATAGACTAGACTATAGACTAGACTATAGACTAGACTATAGACTAGACTATAGACTAGACTATAGACTAGACTATAGACTAGACTATAGACTAGACTATAGACTAGACTATAGACTAGACTATAGACTAGACTATAGACTAGACTATAGACTAGACTATAGACTAGACTATAGACTAGACTATAGACTAGACTATAGACTAGACTATAGACTAGACTATAGACTAGACTATAGACTAGACTATAGACTAGACTATAGACTAGACTATAGACTAGACTATAGACTAGACTATAGACTAGACTATAGACTAGACTATAGACTAGACTATAGACTAGACTATAGACTAGACTATAGACTAGACTATAGACTAGACTATAGACTAGACTATAGACTAGACTATAGACTAGACTATAGACTAGACTATAGACTAGACTATAGACTAGACTATAGACTAGACTATAGACTAGACTATAGACTAGACTATAGACTAGACTATAGTCTAGTCTATAGACTAGACTATAGACTAGACTATAGTCTAGTCTATAGACTAGACTATAGACTAGACTATAGACTAGACTATAGACTAGACTATAGACTAGACTATAGACTAGACTATAGACTAGACTATAGACTAGACTATAGTCTAGTCTATAGACTAGACTATAGACTAGACTATAGACTAGACTATAGACTAGACTATAGACTAGACTATAGACTAGACTATAGACTAGACTATAGACTAGACTATAGACTAGACTATAGACTAGACTATAGACTAGACTATAGACTAGACTATAGACTAGACTATAGACTAGACTATAGACTAGACTATAGACTAGACTATAGACTAGACTATAGACTAGACTATAGACTAGACTATAGACTAGACTATAGACTAGACTATAGACTAGACTATAGACTAGACTATAGACTAGACTATAGACTAGACTATAGACTAGACTATAGACTAGACTATAGACTAGACTATAGACTAGACTATAGACTAGACTATAGACTAGACTATAGACTAGACTATAGACTAGACTATAGACTAGACTATAGACTAGACTATAGACTAGACTATAGACTAGACTATAGACTAGACTATAGACTAGACTATAGACTAGACTATAGACTAGACTATAGACTAGACTATAGACTAGACTATAGACTAGACTATAGACTAGACTATAGACTAGACTATAGACTAGACTATAGACTAGACTATAGACTAGACTATAGACTAGACTATAGACTAGACTATAGACTAGACTATAGACTAGACTATAGACTAGACTATAGACTAGACTATAGACTAGACTATAGACTAGACTATAGACTAGACTATAGACTAGACTATAGACTAGACTATAGACTAGACTATAGACTACTAGACTATAGGCTAGACTATAGACTAGACTATAGACTAGACTATAGACTAGACTATAGACTAGACTATAGACTAGACTATAGACTAGACTATAGACTAGACTATAGACTAGACTATAGACTAGACTATAGACTAGACTATAGACTAGACTATAGACTAGACTATAGACCACTGTACTTCGAAATACATTCTCTTATCTGCCTGCATCGATGCTCGCAAAATATTTTATTGTTTTTGTTTTGCTGATACAGTTCTTGTGTGGTTCAGACTAAAAGGTTTCAGTGACTAATAAACAATTGTTTCATAAGATGATATCACATACATTTGAAAAACACAAACAAACATACATACATATAAACTGCCAAATAATATAGAAATCGTTTTTGTTGAGTATTTGCTGAACTGCTAAAAAGAAGAAAAAACTCAAAATGAACAAAATATCGAAAAACTAAATAAAAATATAAATCCAAACTAAGTAAAAATGAAAATGTTATTTCTTTTAAGATTGTACAAGTATTGTTTAAATATTTTCTTGTTCTGTATTTGTTGTATATGCATTCAATTTTAATGTCTTGAATTTCAATATTGGCGCCTTTGCAACATAAAAATAAAAATAAAAAAATAAACACCGATACATGCAACTAAATATGTATCAGTAGATGTATTTTATAGTTTCAAGTTGTTGTTTGCTTGTGTGGCGGTTACTTGTTGTGGTAAATTGATAAGAAATACATATATACATACACATACAGATAATATTTATATTGCAGTTTGTATTAAGTATTGGTTTATTGTTATTTGCCAAATACTTGAAATTGTTCAATTTTAAATTTTACCCACATGCTTATGTGTAAAATTTGAAACGAGGAAAGTATTTTGGCTTGTTATTCCCAATGAGAGATTTTTAATTTATTGACCAAATTCTGTAAAGAAAAAGAAGTAGAAAAAAACTGTAGTTAATATCAGTTACATTTAAGTGGTCAACATATTAATAATATAGCTACAGTTATAATAGAGTTGCTTAGATAAATAAAAATACATATATGTATTTATTATATGTGTTATATTGTTTCTTATATACATATATGTATATATGTATATATGACAGACATACACACATATATGTAAGTATGTCTGTCATCTCAAAATCACTTTCTGAGTCGATTTAGATATGTCTGTCCATCCGTCCATCTTTCTGTCCGTCCGTCCATCTGTCTGTCCGTCTGTTTTAAATCAATAGCAAAGCTCCTTTGGACATTTTTTGCTAGGACCAATAGGTGAAAAATTACACTCTTTTAAATAAAACCCTGTATGACCAAAATGTCTAACTTTGACCCCTTCTAAGTCCAGTAGTTCTTGATCCATAGAGCTGAAAATTTATGTAGGAAGACATCGATTTTAAAAGTTGGATCAATTGGCACGAAATTGCCCATATTGTATATCTAAGCTGAAAAATGAAACTCTTTTGATAATCAATGTACAATATGAAAATATAAAAATTTCCTTTTAAATTAGTCGCTAGTACATTAGTAAACCATTTTTTTATAAATCAATATAAAAATATAAATAAAGTACTTTCTCATACAACAATAACGTGGACCAAAAAAATATTTTTCAATATTGGCTTTAAGTATTTTTCAATATTTTGAGAGAAATGCACAAATATGTATGACTTAAAAGATAATATTTAGATTTCAGAATATTTTAATTAAAATTAAATACTTTTTACCGATAAAATATATAGAGGAGCCTCCCTACTATACATAGTTAAGTATACATTTATGTTTGTTATGTTATTCGTCTAAGACATACAGAAACTTGTACAAGAAAATTGTTTAGTAATTTTCTCTACTGATGACAACTTGGGAAATCATTGCTGTCCCAATATACATAAATACCCTGAAGATATTACATAGCATGTGACATATGTACATGTCCAAGGAGGAATTTCGTAATTCGAATGTAGTGTTTTTGTTTTTTTTTTTCGCTATAAAATTGAAATAAAGGAATGCCCTATAAATGTTAGGGTATTGATCAAATCGCAGAATTCAATGAAATGTTTTGTTTATAATCATAGAAAAACTACACTCAAGTTATTTGTAAAAATGTCCAAAATAGGTTCATACAACTATGTATTCATCAGAATATGGCCCGATTTAATCTACAAATACATACATATTTACATAGGTTTTTAATTACTGGTAATATTAAAAACCATAAAAGAAATCTTTGTAGACTACAGTCTATTATGTAGTCTACTGGTAATATTAAAAATATTACTGGTAATATTAAAAACCATAAAAGAAATCTTTGTAGACTACAGTCTAGTATGTAGTCTAGTCAATAGTCCAGTCTATAGTCTAGTCTATAGTCCAGTCTATAGTCTAGTCTATAGTCTAGTCTACAGTCTAGTCTATAGTCTAGTCTATAGTTTAGTCTATAGTCTAGTCTATAGTCTAGTCTATAGTCTAGTCTATAGTCTAGTCTATAGTCTAGTCTATAGTCTGGTCTATAGTCTAGTCTATAGTCTAGTCTATAGTCTGGTCTATAGTCTAGTCTATAGTCTAGTCTATAGTCTAGTCTATAGTCTAGTCTATAGTCTAGTCTATAGTCTAGTCTATAGTCTAGTCTATAGTCTAGTCTATAGTCTAGTCTATAGTCCAGTCTATGGTCTAGTCTATAGTCTAGTCTATAGTCTAGTCTATAGTCTAGTCTATAGTCTAGTCTATAGTCTAGTCTATAGTCTAGTCTATAGTGTAGTCTATAGTCTAGTCTATAGTCTAGTCTATAGTCTAGTCTATAGTCTAGTCTATAGTCTAGTCTATAGTGTAGTCTATAGTCTAGTCTATAGTCTAGTCTAGTCTAGTCTATAGTCTAGTCTATAGTCTAGTCTATAGTCTAGTCTATAGTAGTCTATAGTCTAGTCTATAGTCTAGTCTATAGTCTAGTCTATAGTCTAGTCTATAGTCTAGTCTATAGTCTAGTCTATAGTCTAGTCTATAGTCTAGTCTATAGTCTAGTCTATAGTCTAGTCTATAGTCTAGTCTATAGTCTAGTCTATAGTCTAGTCTATAGTCTAGTCTATAGTCTAGTCTATAGTCTAGTCTATAGTCTAGTCTATAGTCTAGTCTATAGTCTAGTCTATAGTCTAGTCTATAGTCTAGTATAGTCTAGTCTATAGTCTAGTCTATAGTCTAGTCTATCTATAGTCTAGTCTATAGTCTAGTCTATAGTCTAGTCTATAGTCTAGTCTATAGTCTAGTCTATAGTCTAGTCTATAGTCTAGTCTATAGTCTAGTCTATAGTCTAGTCTATAGTCTAGTCTATAGTCTAGTCTATAGTCTAGTCTATAGTCTAGTCTATAGTCTAGTCTATAGTCTAGTCTATAGTCTAGTCTATAGTCTAGTCTATAGTCTAGTCTATAGTCTAGTCTATAGTCTAGTCTATAGTCTAGTCTATAGTCTAGTCTATAGTCTAGTCTATAGTCTAGTCTATAGTCTAGTCTATAGTCTAGTCTATAGTCTAGTCTATAGTCTAGTCTATAGTCTAGTCTATAGTCTAGTCTATAGTCTAGTCTATAGTCTAGTCTATAGTCTAGTCTATAGTCTAGTCTATAGTCTAGTCTATAGTCTAGTCTATAGTCTAGTCTATAGTCTAGTCTAGTCTAGTCTATAGTCTAGTCTAGTCTAGTCTAGTCTAGTCTAGTCTAGTCTAGTCTAGTCTAGTCTAGTCTAGTCTAGTCTAGTCTAGTCTAGTCTAGTCTATACTCTAGTTTATAGTGTAGTCTATAGTCTAGTCTATAGTCTAGTCTATAGTCTAGTCTATAGTCTAGTCTATAGTCTAATCTATAGACTATAGACTAGTCTATAGTCTAGTCTATAGTCTAGTCTATAGTCTAGTCTATAGTCTAGTCTAGTCTATAGTCTAGTCTATAGTCTATAGTCTAGTCTATAGTCTAGTCTATAGTCTAGTCTATAGTCTAGTCTATAGTCTAGTCTATAGTCTAGTCTATAGTCTAGTCTATAGTCTAGTCTATAGTCTAGTCTATAGTCTAGTCTATAGTCTAGTCTATAGTCTAGTCTATAGTCTAGTCTATAGTCTAGTCTATAGTCTAGTCTATAGTCTAGTCTATAGTCTAGTCTATAGTCTAGTCTATAGTCTAGTCTATAGTCTAGTCTATAGTCTAGTCTATAGTCTAGTCTATAGTCTAGTCTAGTGGACTAGTACTTTAATATCTAAAAAGTACTCTTTTTGTTATAAGTTAGTACTATTTCAAAATTAAAATTTTCCATGCATAGTGTAGTGTATAAATAAATATATAATAGACATAGAAAATATCAATCTGATAATATTGTTATGTTACACAACTACTTAAAGAATGTGTGAAGATAAAGGGGTCAAAATATCAAAAACTAAAGAAATAGGAGACAAGTACATACATACATATGTAACTACATTCCCTCAATGCGTAAATGGACGAAACAAATCTTACTAATCGTGCCAAAGTATAATTGAAGGAAAAGAAAATACCCTTTCACACCAAAACACACACGTATCAAAAAAAAAAAAAGATATTAAATAGACAAAAAATCAAGATTTTTATCAGTACTTAAGAAGCATGTACCAGGAACTGAACAGATAACAATGCATTTGTAGTTGTCGTAGTAAAGCTCCTGATGTAGCAGTTGAAAAAAATATTGTATAAAACTTTACACAAATTACATGTATGTAGGTGTAGTAATCACATGTACTATAGAGTTATAAAAAACAAATTCGGAAGAAAAAGAAAAATATACATAAACACATAGTATATGTATATGAAGGAAGGAACTGAAAAAAGAGTTAAACTGTTGTTTGTAATATAGTGTTGGCTTAATGTACATACTACATACATACATACATACGTATGTTTGTAGGTGTTATTCACCAACGATAGTGTGTTCGTGTTTACACGAAGCTTTGTCTTAGTATAAGAGGACATTTTTTACTTCTTGGAATGTCCTTATGTATGTGCATATAAATACATTTTTTATGTCTTTGGTTTAATGGTGTTGCGGTCTATAATAAAAAATTATGCATTAAGGTGGATCATATTTTGCTAAAGTATTGATTGTTCGGAAATTCAAAATATCTTTAAATATAGGACAACATTTGAAATGTTGTATTAGTGATGAATCTGCTGTATTGGTATGATGATCGAGTAGTAGTAGACCAAAAACGTCGTAAACAAAAATGTCACTGCTTACGGAAGTGATATTTTCAAAAAACTGTTTTGAACCCACCCAATTTATATTTATTTATATGTAGACTGAGTGTTAGTATAAATAAGTATGTATTGAAAATGAAAAATGAAATGATATTTATGAGCTGCTATTCACATTTGTAAATGCCATTATATTTATGTCTTCGAATGTGTGATGTTGGTGTCAATAATTTTACATTCTTTAAGCTTTAGAATCATATTTTTTTTTTGTTTCTTTTCTTTTCAGTTTGTTTCTTTGTTTTGTTCTTCTGTTCTATACAAGTAAATGTGTTTACACAGCAACAGTCTGAAAGGCATAAAAGGACATACTCAACACAACCTTTTATACATTACAGTATGTGGGTATATCCTTGCATTGGTTATAAAGATGACGATGATGATGACGATGGTAGTGGTTGTTTACTTATTTGGTGCCAAAGGCGTACACTTCAATTTTACTTTCTTCATTGAAGCATAAAAGCGTAAAAGCGTACAAATATCTACCAAGTATTGAAGTAAGTACAAGCTTGCATGTACGTATGTATGTATGTGTGTTCAAATTTAGGTTTGAAATTTTGTGTATATTA